CTCTCCGGCCACTCAATCACCTGGTCCATGCGCGGCATTGTCATCATCTCCCAGGCTGAGGCGGGCCACCGTCTCTGTATCTCCTCCAGCTTGGCATACACATTTTCCCTAGTCAGTTCTCCACGATCTCCGCCTCATCGTCGTTGGGGACCAAAATCGCGGCACCATCAATCTCCCGCAGCTCCCTTGCCGCCGCAAATTCCTCCAAGCATCAGCGGGGGTAGCTGGTGCGGCCACGAGCAAAGGCGAGCGATGGGAAAGTTTTCGAAAATACGTGCGTGGGACACAATCAGCTTGAGCCTAAAAATGGCATTCACCATTGTGAGTCAAGCGTATTCCTGACATAAAGCATTGCACGGGCGCAGGCTGGTTCAAGTAGCCATAGTAGTATAGTAGTGGTCGTCGTCGTCGTCGTAGTCGTCGTCGACGTCGTCGTCGTCGTAGTACGTAGAAGTAGTAGAAGATAGTAGAAGCAGCAGCAGTGATATGGTGTACCAGCGATAGCAGCAGCAGAGGTATTGTCCATCGCCCCCGAAACCATTATGCTAAAGCACTCCACTTGTTGTGACGGTGGAACTTCGTGGGGGTGTTTCGATTCCGTTGCCTCCTTCTCTTTCTCCAACTCCTGCGTTCTCTGGCGCAGCTGCTGGACTTCGGCCTCGACAAACCGTCAGATTATTTTCCAGCAGGATGCGACACGTCGATGGTAAAAGAGAAAGTTGGTTCATCAACGCTTCGGGCAGCGCCTGCAACTCTTTCACGCGCTTTTCCAGCTCCGGGCGCTGTGCAAGGGCCTGCAGTTGACTGTCTTCGAAGCCCTACCGCTTCTATCTTGGTGATCAAACATCCCACATGCTTTTCTGCAGCGTCTCCTCGTTTTGGCGCTCCAGCTCCTCCTTCCGCTTGTTCAGGCTCAGAACATCAGCCTCACAGAAACAGGAACAGAGCAATGCCGTGCGTGCACTCAAACGAATCTTGCAGATTCATGGACAGCCCGAGAACCGAGAGGCTTAAACTTGGACGGCTCTCTCGGCACGCGTGGTGCGAAGACAAGGCGGGTTCAATAAGTATGACAGGCAGATGCGTCGCTTCACAGACCAGGTGCTAGTAGTAGCTGAAAGTGCCGGGAATGAGAGGCACAGCGAGGGACTGAGAGAGGGAGGGAGGGGGCAAGATGCTGCCAGCAGGAGCTGTCAAGAGAGTTCCTGGCCTCCACTTTCGAGGTCCAGACATGCACTTGGCTCACTACCTCCTGGAAAGTGGCTTCCAGTTGAACATCTTCAAATGCAAGTTGTTCTGAGAATCGCTCCACACAGAGTGTTTCTTGGAGGGATTTCGACCGCGTAGGAGTATCTCAAATCTGCACCGAGCCAACACGTGAAAGTCCTCCAGCTGTACAACATGAAGCTTGAGCTGGGCATGCGCAGGAGTTGAATCCTCCTGGCGTGGACAATACAGCTGATGGTCTTTGGTCGGATAGAGTGAAGTGGACCTACAAGCCGCTGACTCTCAAGTGCATCAATTCAGAAAGAAGCTTCCTGCAAGCTGCAAGCAGCGGAAAGGAACACGTCATGTACTCCAAGTGCGCCGGCTTTGCGGGACGGGCATCGAAGCCGCGTCGCCTGGCCTCCAGTGTGTCCAAGCCGAGAGGAATGCAGAAAGCTCTGCAGAGATCGATCGCATCGCACTTCTTCCCCAAGAGAGCCAATGCCAAGTTCTTTTCTCGCGCTGCAGCTCAATGCTTTGGGGGAAGACGAAGACGGATGCCCAAGCATCGATAAAGAGGATCCCCGCCGGACTGGCAGGCACCTCGCTGAGCCGCGAGTCTGCGAGGTTCGCGCAGCTGAGCTGGTTCTATTTACAAGGCACAAGGCAAATGAACCGGATTCGCGCGACTTTCAAGGAAATATCCGAAGCACTCCTGGGCAAAGCCCTCTGTTTGCTGCAACACTGGACAGTTCATTCTCCGGGTTCGGTGTTGCGGCACAGAGATGCCAGCCACAGTAACACAACTGTTGCGACTGTTGTGGACTGGGCCTCTGCGTCGTAGCTGGGCAGCAAGTGTTTCTCTGCTCACTCGGGGAGACGAGGACAGTCAGGACCGGAGTTGCCCTTCTTGAAGCCCGAATATGCAGAGGCACTCTGGACACTTGCACTTCTAAAGCATGCCTTTAAAGTGGCGTATAGGTACATTGGGCTTAATGTTGAGATGCGGTCGGTAGGGGGAGCCATTCTTTACCAATGCTCGAGCGAATGGCACACCCGACCAGACCAACTGAGCTGTAAGTTTCTCCAGCGCAGTTGCATCAACCTCCTACCTGCCGGGGTTCTGCTCCGACTGACTGTGGAGCTTACGAAATGAAAGGGCACAACCCCAACAGAATCAGCTCGTTTCTCCTGAACGACCAAACTTTGAATTCTCATGCAGCTGCATTGGCGTTGTTTTGCGGGCACTAACAAAAGGAGAGCTGAAAGCTACTTCTGCAACGAATCATTAACGAACGAACTTACCAGAGCGGTAACCCCATCGTTTTAACGTGCCCACCCTCCGACCGCTCATGACTCTGAGCCTTGTCATGCCCTGTCATTCAGCCTTTGCAATAAGGATGGTTCACTCCTCGGGTCACACTACGTGTACGTCGAGCATTACACTTCGGCTTCGACGAGAACAATCCAACTGCAGTACAAGGTGCAGTGTGGGCCACAAAGTGACGCCTTGGTGGAATGTGCAGCTCCGTGTAGCTAACCCTTCCAAAGTTCCGGGTGTCCAACTCGTAGAGACGCAGACCTGGGATCGATAAGAAACCCGACCATACTCAAGGCCGACTGCCTGCCGTAGATTTCGCGATGCTTTTCGACCAAGCAGCTCATGTCCATCAGGCGCTCATCGGGTGTCTTCTTGCGCAGCTCCTGGACAAGCTGACACGTTGCATTCCCCACAAAGTCCCCAAAAGCAAGAAGTGCTGTGCACTGCCGGGCCCGCTCTCACAAGCGCAAGAACCGTGCGGCGAGCAAACACTAACCTGCTCGAGTTGAGCTCTCCTCCAATGCTCCTTCCTTGGCCTGAACAACAAATCGAAGTGAGTGGTGCTTCCATCCCACCTATGACCCTCAAATCACATGAGGTGCGCCGGCCTCCTTGTGCTGCAGCACCTCCATTAGCAGCAAGTCTACAAAGCTTGTGTAAGAACTCGCCAGTAACTCTCTTCTTCAGCCACTTTCTTTCTGCAGGCTTGAGGAGGGGGATGCCACCCCCCGCGCGTTAGCGCACCCTGTTTTGGTGTGGAAAGAGCGGAAGCAAACCAGGAAATGAACGATTCATCTCTCTGTTGTCTTGTCTTGTCTTGTCTCCGGGGCATAGGGGACTTGTCAGTCCCCTCGCGCGGGGAGGTGCACCCGTGTTTCGGGGCTCCGTAGGAGGGACTGAAAGCGCCAGCAGCAAAAGAGCTCGGTTGAAAAAGATAGTCATCTCTTCTTCCCCCGGGCATGAGGGGCTGGTCAGACTACCCCTGGCCAGTTGGCCCCCCAATTGTTATGGGGTTTTCGGAGGGTGTGAAAAGTTCATCAACATCTGGGGTTTTCTAAAGTACGTATTTGAACACAAACCCGGTCCCCAATGTTGATACAGTGCAAGTCTTTGGGACACCATTAATTTCTGTATGTCATCTCTGTCTCTCTCTTTCCTTTCGCCAGGCTCTCTCTCTCTCTCTCTCTCTCTATCTCTCTCAAGCTGGGCCGACCAGCTTATTGCTCAGCCATCAGGATCCACGGGGCTGGATCTTTCAAGCACAGGGCGTCTGCAAGCGACTCAGGACTCAGGCCACCGACGCCACCGCCGCCACCACCACGACGACTACTACTGGCACGGAAATAGGGAAGACTTTGTTGCCGAGGCATTGCTCACTCGAGAGTCGGTGCTCCCCTCGACGGATTCTTTCTTGCAATCCAGCGAACCCTGTTTCGACCCCATCCTCTCTCCCTCTCCGTGTCTCACTGTACTTCTGAAACTGCGGCATGCGCGGCCTTGTCTGCCACAGCCTCATTGTGCTTGATAGCCTTGGCCGAAATCTCCTTCATCTTCTCACCGCGGAGGTCAGACTGTCAATGCAGTTGCTCTGGAGTGGAAGCACAAAGTTCGAAGATGGGGGTAACATGATTTGCGTTGGCGTTCCTTCTTCGAAAGGTTTGGGGTGAGAGAGAATGATCTACTGTAGGCCACAGCTTTTGCAAGCTTCCGCCCATTTAGTAGAGCTCAAAACAGTTCAAACCCCAGCCGTGCCAGCACGTAATGCACAGGTTGGCTGGGTGGCCTTCTTCAGCAGAGCCTGCTGTAAGCGCTCGCGGGCCTCCTCCGCAGTCATCTCGCCTCGCAGGTAAAGTTCGGTCATCATGATTCTTCAAATGAGAGAAAGCCTGAGTGCCTGAAAGCAAAACGTGCTTCATTACCAGTGTCTATCGTTCCTCCCTATTTTCTCGAGCACAGTCATTCTGCAGATTGCAGCAGTACAGATCAAGTCAGAAGTGCTGACAGAAAGTTCGGCTGAGTGCTGTTTGCGCCGCTTCGACGGGATGGACAAACACCCATGCTGGTGCTAGTATCAAAGAGACACTTCCGAAGATCCTTCGACAACAGCAAGACCAATCAAATCACGTCGAATCAAACTCCGTACAGAAGCCTGTTGATTGACACTACATGGGAAGCATGGGCAAACGCCCAGGCCTTTCTGCTTTGACGTGTCCTTGACCTCGATCACCTTCGCAGGCGTTCTGCGTCAGGTGAAAGTTATGCTGTCTCTAGAAAGTCTCAGCTTCCTTGTTTCATACCTGCAAGGCAAGGCATTTGGGGTTGTGCCAGCCTTCTCGATGTGCTGCGCCGCTTTCTTCTTGATGCTCGCAAGGGCACCTACAACTGAAGCTGTTGAGCAATGGGGGCTCAAGCTGTGTAAGAGGCTCGGAACGATACAAACCAGCTCCTGCCGTAGATGTGAGCATTCTCGTTGCGATGCTCATGTTCAGGAATGCACAGAATCCATAGAATAACTCTCTGCGCGCACCTTCACGGTTCTCTCCGGCTTTTTCCAGCTGCTGCTCAAGAGTCTTCTGCCTTGCTTCAGCCGATGTCCTCAGCTCCGGAGCAGCTTGAGATTCTTTTTCAAACTCCAATCCTCAAGAACAGCGCCCTACTATCGGTGCCAGGAGGCTTGAACTCATCACGGACGCGCTGAGCCGCTTCCTTCTTTTGCTCGTTGGCTTGGCGAGCCTGGCTGGCAAGACCAGGGTTCGACCAAGCAGAGGGTAAAGGAGACAGAGGCAAAGGAGACATGAAGAGACTCTGTGTTTCTGGAGTTCTGCGGATACGAGTATATCTAAGCCTAAGTTTGTGCCTGCCGTGCCGTCATACCGACAACGAGATGAGCTAGCTTGCCTTGTCGGCGCGCTGCTCTTTGAGCAGAGGAACAGGGTTGCGGGCACCGAGAAGCGTCCTGGGCTTGTCCCGAAGGGCGAGGCATTGAGAAGTCTGGGCCACTGGGCTGCATGCCAGTGGGGAGGGCGGTGCAATCAGCCTGACCTCTGGCACGCCTTAAAGCCTCCGGCCCATGTTGCCGCTTGCTTGTTGTGTCGCCCTCTCGGATCCCCGTCCCCCTTTCGAGTCTCATAGTTCGTGCACTTAAGCCGTTAAGCCCGTCACTTAGTCGCTTCCAAGGTTCGGCAGTTGGGTGGTTGGCCTCTTCTCATAAGATTCCAAGCGGAGACGTGCGGCAGTCTTCAACCTCACCGACTCACGGCCGGTGACACAAAAACTGCTCATGCGGCGGGGGGCAAAAGAACCCTCCAGCCTGTCTCTCACGACCAAGGGGCTTGTCGGAACCGGGGCTCTTGATCTGCACCTCATGCAAGTCACTACTCCTCCGACAACAGAAGTAACAGAAGACAGCATGGAAGCCTCGAAGGCAGCGCCGGACTCCTTCTCAGCAATGGTGGCAATCTCAGGAGGAGACATGATCGGCCTAAGTTCATCGCGAGGGTCTACAGCCCCCGTACACCCAATGTTCGCGGATATGGAGCAGGCTAACCGGGGCGAGTTCCAGTCCAGAGGAGCTGTCACTCCATGCTCTGACCCGTAGTGCCAACAGAGCATGCTGATGCAGCAGCTCTTTGCGGGCGAACGGCGAGTGCTTGGAGACGCAAAGGCCACCAAAGGAGGACTTGATATTCAAACAGTTGCTGAGAGCAAGAACATGCTGTGCTTGCTCGGCAGGTCCCATGAAAGATGACACACTTGTTGTCAACTCTTCATAAGACCACCTGCCCTACAAAGAGTGTGTCCCTGATGCGCAGGAGCGGATCCACTGGCCCAGAGCCTCCCGAGCTTCCCGAGCCGCGCCTTGTCTGCCTTCGCCGCAGCGACCTGGGAGCATGAGCTCTCAGCGTGGCGTCTGAGACCGGATCTCGGCAAGCTGCCTTTTTCTAAACTTCTTTTTGCCGGCTCTACGCTCGACTGTGCTCCGAGCAGGTTCGCTCACGGCTTTCTCCTTTCAAGGGTGCAGTGCAGTTGGGCAACACCTACTCCGAGCTCCGCAGGTGTGTCACCAAATACCCTTTCTGGTGTCCGGCCTCTTGTGCAGGCGGGGAGCTCATCCTGAAACGACCATCTGTGCACCGGTGTGTTGTGGCACTAGCTGGCGGTTGTGCTGCCTGCTTGGGGCTGAAGTTTTGGAGGGCATTCGAATGCAACGTCATTCCAAAGCCGATAACGCTGGGAAAGCTGCAAAAAGCTAGCTCCCTTTCTCTTGCTGCTCTCGAGCAGGCAGGTTGGTCGTGCTCATGATGCAAAGCGGCTGGCAGCCAAACATTTTCAGATCCAGCTACGAGGCGACAAAATTCAGCATGGATCGGCAAAGCTGCAAATCGCAAAGACCAGCTCGCGGCTTTAGCACTGAAAGCATAGCTGCGAGTTGCTGCACTTACAGTTCTTTTGCCTCGACCCTGACAGCAGATCACTTTACCTTCTCCAGAATGAGAACATTCTCATCGTCAAACATGTGGTGAGCGTCGTGGCCTGAAAATTTCGACTCGCTTCTCCTCTTGAAGAATCATGCAGCCAAGTCAACATCACTACGATGACACAGATATGATGATGGTCATTCCTAGAAGTATTGTCTCGTTCTAGTCGTAGCAGCATTATCAGTATCAAAAGTCAGAATTCTGCTCTGGGGACACGGCAACTCTTGGCCGCCTGGAACAGCAGGCTCGGGTCACCTGAAGGCTACAGCGTTACAGAGCGATTTCGTTTTCTAGTCACTTTGCAAAAAAGATTGCAAAGCACCGACCAATCATCAGCGCTCTGCGTTAGCAGAGCCTCAATAGGCTCATGCTTCGCGCATAGATCTAAACCAAGAACGGCTTCTTCCTTTGCAGGCCATTCATTGCAGCATCTTGCTACTGCGGATACAGAAGCGAGCTCGCACTGAGATCCCACTCGCGCTTCAATATGCAGCCTCTTGTAACAACTTATTCTTCAATCTTAATCCAGGGCACCTCTTTCGCGGAAGAGAAGCCATGCCTGCCCAACACATGTCCATCCCAAAAATAGTTTCAGCCGCCGCAGTTCACTCAGATGACTAGGCTCATGGATTCAGAGGACATTTAGAGGACATGCCAGTGTCAAACATGCGAGGCCTGTCTCGCATTGCGAGCTGCATCGCGCATGCTATTTCGAAGCTCCGTGGCCTGAAAGTGGCTGCTGGAACCCGTCGTTCACTCGAGGAACTTTTGAAAGCACATCTCATCATCTGCACGGACTCAGTCGGGACACCCTCGCGAACAGAAGTCGCATCTCATCAGCTGCTGAACTGTTTCCGGTCTCGCGGAACAGAGTCATGGCCTGGGTGTCCAGCACATACTTCTCTTCTGATTCGTTGGGAAAAAGCGCAAATTGACTGGGCTCAGATCCGCACCCGCCCTGCTGCCTCCAGCGCGCTGCGAGGCTTGCGCAAGGCCAACTGGCCTTCAAATGCAATCAAGAAAGGCCTACTGAGAAGGACCAAGGCCTCTGCGATGCAAACTCAAACACCTCAAAATCGCATTGCTGGATCCTAACATTGAGCCGATATTCACAACAGCCACAGCTACATCACTCGACGCAGCTGCGTTTGGGACGATTCTCAACTTGAGCTTCCTGCCACGTGTAACAGTGCGAAGTGCCAGCGCCTGACCGGAACAAAGATGCTGCAGTATGCAGAGAGGGAGAGCGAGAGAGAGAGAGTGAGAGAGAGAGATAGAGAGAGCGAGCGAAAAATGGTAAGACAAATCATAAGGGGGAGGGAGGGAGGGAATGGCGACAGAGCGAGAACAAAGGAGGCGGAAGCAAGGGAAGGAGCGAGGGAGGGAGGAGAGGGAGAGGAGATTACCTCACGCCGAGGCCACGCAGCTTCACGGCAGCACTGCGCAAGCTCCTGGAAGCGAATGCACACAAACCGCAGCCTGTGCGTTGTTTGAGCAGGCATTAGGCCGTGGAGTTTGCACGACACTGCTACGAGCATTCACAACTCCTGTTCACTGGTTTTCCGCCTGTACAACATCAGTTGTTGCGGCATTACGTTCATGATTGCTGGTCATCAAGTCTGCGACCATCATCGAACGGAACACCATCATGACCATATGTGATCACATTCCTTTCTTCTCCTACTGGTAACATCGTCTGATGCTACTTCCTGACCGCGTTAGGTTCGCTGCTGCACAAAAAAAAGGTAACCAGGTTATCATTGCTGGATTGACTGCCCTGCTCCTGCCCCTGCTTCTCCTCCTGCTCCCACTCCTACGGCTACCGCGACTCCTATGGACTGCTACCACGACTACTGCCGCTGCTCCTGGTTTTGCTCCTGCTGCTGCTGCTACTCCTGTTGCAAGCGCTACTGCTACTGCTACTGCTACTTCTACTTCTTCTTCTTGTTTTTCTGTTACTAACTTATTTAAACTCTAGGACGAGGACAACATACGACAACAATGACGATCTTCGGTGTGGTTTGAAGTCTTTAGTGTTGCTCGGTGCTTCCGTCATTGATGCTACCGTGCTTATATAGAGATTAAAAGTCTTGTGTTGCTGCGCTGAAAAACCATCATCACTCCTCCTGTAGTTCTTCATTACATTTTGTTCTTGTTGTTACCAGTGCTTCAGGACTGGGTCAGGTCGCTCCTCGGCTGCTTGCGTCATGGCCTCAGCATCCGCGTCCGCCACAGTCGGTAAATGAATGTCATGGTCACGCTTCGTCCTTTGATGATCATGGTGCCTTTTGATGCCCTGGCTGCTCGAGACCGAGAGGCCTGGAAGTCTTTGGTCTGGCGGCAGATCCTTGCTGGAGATCTTGGCTACACACGCTCTGCCACTCTGCGCATGCACACGTTGATTCATCACAGCAGCTTCTAAAAGTGCATAGCACGTGTCAAACCGCATCGCAGGCTGAGGATCGTGCTCAGCCAACATCTCGAGGGCATCAGCCTGCTAAGCATTTATCATTGGTCGCGAAATCTCAGCGCGTGCTGATTGATGTCCCAAGCCCACACGCATCTCTGTGCTTGGTGCTGGGCAGGTCAGCTTCGGCAACCCTGGACCCTTGTGCCAATTTCTGCACAGTGCCTTGCACTCCCACTTCCTGGTGCCCCGCAACCGTTCGGAGCAGTTTCGCCTTGGCGCCAGGCTGGTCGTGCCAACCGCAAGCTCTCACAAAACCAAGCTCTGGGCGCTGCCATGGCCGACTGGCGAGCCTCGGGGTTCTGGCCCATGCAGCCATATAACATATTATATATTTTATAATTTGGAATTCATATTACATATTACATATTATCTATTATACTATATACTATATATTACAAATTTCATGGCAAGGGCCAAATCGAAGGCTCTGGAGATGCTGGCCTCCTCGTGCAGGCTTGAGGCAAGCTGGGCAGCTGCGATGTGCCTGTGTGCCTGAATTGCCATTTCACACGGACGGGACCCCAACTCCAGCACCAAAAAGTTGTCCTTTACACACGGAGTCACCACAGAGCAAAGTTCGGCAAACGTGTAGGAGTTCTCGTTCGTGCCTCGCGATTGAGATGGACTCGACTCAGCTTGCTCTGCAAGTGCTGCAAGGTATTTGAGGTTGACTTTTGCTGTTTGGCTTGTTTGGCTTCGTTGGATGGCTGTTCCCGACAACACGGCTGTATGGAAAAACGTATAACGTAGCCACAATAGCATGCTTGGATTGTCGCATTCGTGCGGTGCGTATTGGAAGGCGCCTTTCAAGGCCTCGAAACCACCAACTTGTACCATCTTACGATTGAACTGTCGAACGGAGACGAACAGTTCAGAGCTTGTGGAAGACCTTCCCAGTCAGAGCCCGTGCACGTCAATCGCACCTGTGAGAGGACTTGTTACGCCCCTCCAGCAACCAGGCAGTTGAGAGTTGCGAGTTCTGTACTGCGAGAGCTCTCGTGGGACCACAGGCAGCAGGTGTGACTATAATGCCTAACTAAGCCTGAGCTTGAACGTTCTTGGAATTTTGGAAAGCTGTTTGCCATTGCTCGAACCATCTGCTCCGCACATCTCTTCATTCTTGTTCTTCCGATGCCGTCGGCCGCTTGGCCAACAGCAATGCAAACAGGCTTGTAATTTGCGATGCTGTTCCTTCGCGTGATCAGCTTCTCGCAACATGTGGCTTTACAGCGTGCCTCTGCGAGGGACAAATGGTCTCCCTGCTGCTGCATCGCCACGAGGCCCTCAGATGCGATTTCCAAAGCCTGCCGAGACAGATCCAGCACAGAGGATGCTAAGCAATCATTGCTCTCGATTCACAAGTCACAAGGTGATCATGCAGCAGACTTGCAAGCCATGTACCTGCTTGCAAAAATCCTGGCACCTTCTCGGAGTTGCCCAAAGCGACCTCTGCTTGAACTACGATGCCTCGAGCTGAAACCTGCCAAGGCGGCCACGAGGCTCAGAGCAGTCACCTTCCCTGGCCAGTGCCTCACGTGCCCGGTCTGACAGCGATCGTAGCACGTCCTGCCATCTGACCAAATCTCCGTGAACGCTTGCCTCAGTTCCCCTGCTCCGTAGCTGCCTGCGCCTGTGCTGCCAGACGTCTGGCTTCCGTGGCACGATCTGCAGCCCTAAGCGTGTCATGACATCGTGGTCTAGAGCTGAGCAGGCTCTGATCATCTGCTGCTACCCGGACTTTCTCTGATCAGACATTCAGGAACCTGCAAAAACGCCGCCACACACTTTCGGAACATTCACAGGAGCGGCGGATGTGGATCTGAGAGTCTGAGAGTCTGGCAAGGCAGCGGAGGCAGCCGAATGCAGGGCGGCTGCCTACGAAACACACGGGTGCTGCACGTGTATTGACACTTAAAGACATGTACTCAGTCAAACGGCAGACAAGACATGGTCATATGTCAGATACCGTGCGCCGCATCTGGAATCATCTGTGGCAAAGACAATCTGAACCAGAAAAAGCATGCCACGAAGACTTGAAGTTTGCCCTCTCTGGATGCAAGAAAATGACAGAGCCCACGTGCTGCCGTTCAGACCTGATTCCTCTGGTCCCCACATCTGGCAAAGATTTCTGCCGCGTCTGAAGCCACGGGGACCACGAGATGGAACTCTTCCCTGACAACACCACGACGATGGAAGCCAGGCATGCACTGCGTGACTCAGTCTGCTCAACATGCTTGTGGAATCTTACGCACGAGTCAGGCCGGGTTTGGCCATGGCATGCAATCGGCAGCTACGCCGTTCTGGTCGGCGGCCTGGCGTGGCGAACCTCGGACATGGGCACAAAAGAATCACCGGCCCCCGACACGGCAGCTGCTCCTACGTGATCCTACATGAAGAGGGAAAGGAAAACATCCAGAAATGAGCAGATCTGCTTCTGCGTCTGTCAGTGCTGCGCCTCCGCAAGGAGAGCCAGGGCAGCCGCCTGAGGAGCTTGTCGCCGACTTAAGGCTAGGCAGCCTCTCGGCACGCCGAGAATTTTAACAAATCTCTTTTTCAGAAGGGTGGTCGGTGCCAAGTGCACGCGGGTTCACCCGGCTCTGCTCTGCTGGAACTCGTAGATTGCTCGGCCTGCAATTGAAGCCTTGAACAGCCCTGCCAAACAAAGGATCGCTTGGCACACAGCCAAACAGCGGCGGCTGCAAATTCCCTAGACACTAAATACATAGGTCCAAAATCGGCACGAAGCATCACGAGACCTCTACACGACGATCTGCAACTCGGCCCGATCCAGCGCGGCCTTCGTGCAGTGCTCGTGGACAAGGTCCACGA